ATCCATGTGCCTACTAATTCTTTCTTTAATAATGGTTTCCACCCATTTACCCGGTATCGATGTCAGACTGACTGGCCTGTAATTTCCCGGATCTTCTCTGGAACCCTTTTTAAAGATGGGAGTGACATTAGCTACCTTCCAGTCTTCAGGAATGGAGACAGATTTTAAGGAAAGATTACATATTTTTGTAAGGAGACCCACAAGTTCATATTTGAGTTCTTTCAGAACTCTCGGATGTATGCCATCTGGGCCTGGTGATTTATCAGTTTTTAAGTTGTCTATCAGTTTTAGGACCTCCTCTCTCGTCACCTCAATCTGACTCAGGTCTTTCAACACCCCTCCTGAAATCAGTGGTTCTGGAGTGGGCAAGCACTTCTCATCTTCCACAGTGAAGACGGAGGCAAAAAATGCATTTAGCTTCTCAGCCATTTCCCTATCATCCTTCAATACTCCTTTTACCCCTTGGTCGTCCAAGGGCCCCACTGCCTCCCTGGCTGGTTTCCTGCTTCTAATGTATTTGAAGAAAGTTTTATTGTTGGTTTTTACGTTTTTTGCGATATGCTCCTCATATTCCCTTTTTGCCTGCCTGACCTCAGACTTGCATTTTATTTGCCATAGCCTGTGTTCCGTTTTATCAGCCTCACTGTGACTAGCTTTCCACTGCTTAAAGGAATTCTTTTTACTTTTTACAGCCTCCATTACTCTGTTTGTTAACCATGCAGGCTTTTTCCTATACCTGTTTGTGCCTTTCCTAACCTGCGGAATATATATTTTTTGAGCTTCTAGGATCGTAGTTTTAAATAGATCCCAAGCTTCCCCAATTGTTTTGACCCTTTCTACTTTTCCTTTCAGTTTCCTCCCCACGTGTCCCCTCATATCAGAGAAATTACCCCTTTTAAAGTTAAAAATGGTTGTGTGAGTCTTTTTGGCCAATTCTCTATTTGTACAAATGATGAACTCAACAACATTATGATCACTGTTTCCAAGCGGTGCAATCACTTTTACATCTCTCACCAGGTCTTGAGTGTTACTTAGGACCAAATCAAGGATCGCCTCTCCCCTGGTAGGTTCCGTGACCATCTGCTCCATAGCACAGTCATTTAGAGTGTCTAGAAACTCAATCTCTTTTTCCCGACTAGAACACATATTGACCCAATCAATGTGTGGGTAGTTAAAATCACCTATTATTACACAGTGTTTTTGTCTAGTTGCTATCTTTAAGGCATTCATCATTTTATAATCCTCCTCTATCTTTTGATCTGGTGGGCGATAACAAACTCCCAGTGTTAAGTTTCCTTTTGGCCCCCCTATTTCAACCCATAGAACTTCCAGAAGCGAATCCAATTCACTTAGCCTCTCAATCTTTCTAGACTTTATACCCTCTCTGACATACAGAGCTACCCCACCTCCAACCCTTCCCCCCCTATCCTTCCGATATAATATATAACCGGGAATCACTGTGTCCCACTGATTTTCCTCATCCCACCAAGTTTCAGAAATACCCACAATGTCTATTTTTCCCTCCGACACCAAGCACTCCAACTCCCCGATTTTACCTCGGACACTTCTAGCATTTGTATAGAAACAGCTGTAATTTCCCTTACAAGTTAAGCCTGCATCCTTCCTCTTGCTATCTCGAGTCGTTGTCCGGCAGTCCATGTCACCAGCCATGGCCTCTGTGGACAATTTCAATCCACCTCCCTGTAGAAAAGCAACCGGTACCCCCTCACCTCTCTCAGATGAGCCAACCCGAACCAGAGACTTTTCATCTCCTGTCGGCTTTCCCCCAATATTCAGTTTAAAAGCTGCTCTGCCACCTTTTTGATTTTAAGTGCCAGCAGCCTGGTTCCTTCTCGGGACAAGTGGAGACCGTCTCGCCTGTACAGCTCCCTCTTGTTCCAAAAAGTATCCCAGTGCCTAACAAACCTGAACCCTTCCCCCCTACACCATCGTCTCATCCACGCATTGAGACTCCTGATCTCTGCCTGTCTCTCCGGCCCTGCGCGTGGAACAGGTAACACTTCTGAGAAGGCTACCTTGGAGGTCCTGGACCTAAGTTTCCTGCCCAGCAGCCTAAATTTCTCCTCCAGGACCTCACGACTGCATTTCCCCACATCGTTGGTGCCGACATGCACCACGACCACTGGCTCCTCCCCAGCACTATCTACCAGCCTATCTAAAACACGCGTAATGTCCGCTACCTTCGCACCAGGCAGGCAAGTCACCATACGGTCAGTACGCGGGTTCGCCACCCAGCTGTCTACCTGCCTAAGGATCGAATCACCCACTACCAAGAGCCCCCCTCCCACCCTGCTCAGGGATGGTTCCTTGGTGCAAAAGGAGAGCCGCTCACCAGCTGGGGAAGAGGTCCCTTCTGAGGGCACATTCCCCTTATCCTCAGCATGGTGCCCTGTTTCCCCTAGACCCTCATGCTCCCTGACAGCAGCGGGGCTGCCAGATCCAGAGTGGGACGTAGCTAACAAGTCCCCGAGAGTCTTTTCTGTGCGCCTAGCTGACTGTCTCTGCTTCTCCAGGTCAGCCACCTTGGCCTCAAGGGAGCACACACGTTCCCTGAGAACCAGGAGCTCCTTGCACCGAGCACACACCCAAGACTTCTGCCCAGTGGGCAGATAGTCATACATGTGACACTCTATGCAAAACACTGGATATCCCACAACCCCCTGCTGGCATTCTGGCTTCATAATTCTTTTAAAATAAGTAAATATAATCCCCCTTTTAAAACCCTTTGTATTTATGTGGTTTTTCTTGTCTAAGTCAACTTACCTTACGGGGAAGACAAAGAGCTTAGGGCCTTGGCTTTCTGGCTCTTCTTGGGCTTCTTACAGAGTCCCTAGTCTAAGAGCCACAGGCAAAGAGCCCTTTAGCTCACCCTTTGGTTCGTGCCTCCGGCAAGGTGCTTTCTTAAATACTGAATTACAGTCAATCACAATGCCCCTTTTTCTCCCTCTCTCAAACAGCCAGGACTCTGCAACAACTCTAATCACTTTCACAAACTCCCAAACACAGTCCTCCCACACAATATCCTCAGCTGAATCCCCTCTGCTGAAAGCAAGTAAAAAAAACACTCACCCCTCTAGCAGCTCTGTCTCCTGTTCAGAGCTCAGCTGGGTCTGAGAACCTCTTCCCATTACTTTTGAGAATTACTGGAGAACAAATGAAGTGCCAGAAGATTGGAGGCAGGACAATCTGGGTAACTACCAACCCATCAGCTCGATGTTTATACCAGGAAAAGTTTTAGAGCAAATAATCAAAAAGTCAGTCCTTGAGAAAGGATGGCTGTGATTACTAAGAGCCAGCATGGTTTTCTCAAGAATAGTCATGTCAGACTAACCTTATCTCTATTTTTGAGAAATTTCCTACCTTGCTGGATCAGGGGAATGTTGTAGACATAGCCTACCTGGATTTCAGTAACACTTTTGACAAGATTTCACTAAGGCTTTCGATAAGGTTCCACATAATAGTCTTGTTGACAAAGTTGGTAAAATGTGGTTTGGATCCTATTAATGGTAGATGGCCACCAAAGAACACGGTGGCTAGAAATCATAGAAGTTGACACCAGCCTGAGCATGGAACAACTAAAAAAAACCAGTAAAAGACCAGAAAATGTGGAGAGAGCTGGCCCATAGAATCGCCAGGAGTCAAACATGACTGAATGGCTAACAACCACAACACTGTTAGGTGGATCTGTAGCTGGTTAATAGATCACACCCAAAGCTAATTGTTTCTCATCCTCTTGGAGAGGCGTGATAATTGGAGTGCCTCAGGGATCTCTGTTTTGTTCAACGTCTTTATCAATGATTTGGATGAAGGGATAGAGGGAATGCTTATTCAATTTGCAGATGATCCTAAATTGGGAGGGGTAGCAAATATGGTAGAAGACAGAGTGAGGATGCAGAATGATCTGGAGAGGCTGAAAAACTGGGTTAATCAAATAAAATGAATTTTAATGTAAAGTTCTGCATTTAGGTAGGAAAAATTGGGGAGAATTGTGTTGGCAGTAGTATGTGTGAAAAGGATCTAGGGGGGTCTTAGTAGACCATACACTGAACAGGAGTCTGCAGTGTGATGAGGTAGCTAAAAAGGCAAATGTGATTTTTGGGTTGCATCAACAGAAGCAGGGCTCCCCCCCCCCGGGTGAAAAGTACGCAAACGGAGAGTGATTTCAGCAAAGCGTACTTTATTCGATCATGAACAAGACAACTTTGGCCGGCTCGCAGACCAGCTTATATCCCCCGAGAAACCGCCACCCAAAACACACTCCTACTTCCCTATAGGTTATTTACAGTGGCCGAGAGTCCCATAGGCTCTCGGCCAGGAACCTAGCCCCCTGATTGGAGTGGGCTAGGATCTGCATAGTCCATTGTCTCTTGAAGCGAAGCTCTGTGTTTGTCTCTGGACTTGTCTGGACTGGATACATTACACAGGGGAACATGCCAGAACAGAGTTCTGGAAACTCTTCGACAAAATTATTTTTAAAATGTTTAAAAGTTATGTGTCTTGTCCCTCTTGAGAGTTCCAGGACCTCCCCACCCCCAAGCCCCGAATGGAAGTAGAGTGTCCAGATCACACGAAGTGATGGTATCCCTTTGCTCTGGTTAACTTCACCTAGATTATTGTGTTCAGTTTTGGTCACCACAATTTAAGAAGGATAGTTTGGCCAGGGATCGGGGTTTTTTTTGCCATCTTCTGGGCATGGAGCAGGGGTCACTGTGTGTGTGTGTGAGAGAGAGTTATTTGTGAATTTCCTGCATTGTGCAAGAGGTTGGGCTAGATGACCTTGGAGGTCCCTTCTATGATTATATTCTATTATTGGAGTGTGTGAACTGGCTGCTATATTCTATTAGATAACTTCTGTACCAAACATGATGAGGAGCAAAAGAGCAGGCCTCCCTTTCAAAAAAAGGGGCCTTAGATTCACACTCAAACGATTCTGTTGACAAGATTCTCCTTAACTGTCGTGTTGTTTTCATGTACTCGAGGCACTTACATTGGATGCTTCAGTGACGATTCCAGAGAGAGGACTTTGAAAGGTGCTGTGTTTTATGACTTGAGGAAAATGACAGTTTCTCACTGCCAGGAAGCTTGTGCTGAAAGGTAAAAGCTTTTATTTTCTCTGTAAATTTACTGCCCCACTTATATCAGAAGTGCATGATATGCATGTAGCTATGCTAATATTTGTATATTTTATTTCATTTTTAAAGTACCACAAACATACAATGCTATCTTGAGGTATGCTACTGATCCAGCTATTTATTTATTATGACTTTATTTTAGCCTTCCTCTAAGAACCTCTTGTAAGAAAGCTCTACTAATTCTCCCCCTTTTTATCTTTACAACAACCCTGTGAGGTTGAGTAGACTGAGAGTGTTTGACTGGCCCAGAAAGCTACATGGTTGAGGAGTAATCACCCAGGTCTTAGTCCAATGCTCTTAAGTATGCAGCGCTACAAATAGAACTCTTTCTCTAAATTTTGTAACTCTGTTCATGAATCACAGTGAATGCCTATATAATCCATGGACAGTGTGCGCACACATGGTTTTCTTTATATACTTGTGCTGAGTAATTCCCATGTTCCAATCAGTGTATGTACAGCTGAACGTGTGATACAGATCTCACATTAAGCCAGGCACTGTTCCCCCGTTTCATTTGTGAAGTGAACATGTACGAGCTTTTTCTTACAATGAGATGTATGAGTGTGTGCTCACTGTAGCATATGGACAGGGCTACTATCAACCAATTTTTGGACTAATTGATCATTGTGGAACATTATTTAAAAAGCACGAGAATGGAACATCCCACCGCTTAATTCATTTTTTATATACGGACTAGCTTTAGCGGGGTCTGCTTTGACTAACAGAAGCTCTTAGGCAGAGACCCATTGAGGTGAAGATGCCTGGGATTGAACTTTGTGCAGGGAAAGTATGCATTCTGCTACTGGTTTATGGCCCATTAGGAATTAATGTACAAACATGAGTGTATGAAATTATCATTTTTGAAACATTTATTCAAGTTCTTTCAGAATGCTTTATCTGGTTGTTAATGATAACTGAATTGTTGTAATTAATTGCTCCAGCCAGGATTGCCAACAGGCCTGGAGGGGGGAAATTGTCCTGTCCCTTGAATAGAGGCTTAATGGGTAGAAATGGGCAGTTGAAGCTTCTCATGGCAGAGAGGTAAATAACACTACCGAGTAAATAACAACCCAATGAGCCTCTGTTATTCCTTTAGGAAGTTGACAGCCCTACCATAGCAGTCTACATTTTTCCCAGTAGTTTCCATCTTAGTCAGCTCTGTCTTTTGGATTTTCCTTTCCCTTAAACTGCTTCTTTCTGTTTTACAGGCATTGTACTGTTCACTTTCTACTCTGATAGATAGCAGCTCTCCAAGATACTAGGTAGAAACCTCCCCCCCCCCCCCCCGCTTTCTGATGTGCCATAACCAGCACATCTAACTACAAGTTGCGAAGTCCTTGGGTCATGTCTGGGTCTGCCTCAAGGAACCAGGTGGACAGGGGCCCAATTTGGATTGGAAACACACTGGACAGGAAAGACATCTCCCCTCCCATGTGCCTTTGCTGTCCTGGAACAGCCTGGGTGGGCACCACGTGCCCTTCTGGGGGACCCACATATCCCGGCGGGGGGCACACAGCAGGGCAAATGGTGCTTTTTTCAGGATTGGAACATGGTGCTTCGGAAGGCATAAGCATTACCTTCCACATATGCACTGTAGCCCTGGTCTAAATCGGCCCCTGCGTGTGTGGGAACTGCATTCCCAGTGTGGGAGCTTGCAAATGTGATGGAAAGTCCATGCAACAGACCTGGATACTTTGTGACATGTATTTAGGCCCTCAAATCTGGGACCTTCCTTATGCAAAGTCTGTGCTCTACCACTGACTTTTCCTGTTAATGGTATATAGAGCAAAAGAATACAGTTTAGTGGAGCCCACACCTTATGGTCCTGAGGACATTGACTAATGCATCCTTGATTTGAACCAAATCCTGTGTTAACAATTGCTGATTCTTATCATTTTTGAGGATTATTATTTTATTTTTTTGGTAATTTATAGGGCTTATACTTATGCTGGTTTGGAGTATGGAGCAGAATGCTACTGTGGAAACAAGTTACCCTTGACTGTAGCAAAACAGGAAGAGTGCAACAATGAATGTAAAGGAGAAAAAGGAACCATCTGTGGCGGACTGAACAGGCTTTCGGTTTTTCGGGTGGAGGAACCACGGGCTAGACCCAAACAACGTGAGTGATGTATGGCTCCACCTCAAACAGGGATGGGGCGTGGGATGTCTGATCCCCACTACAGGCGCATGAGATGTGACACAGATGATCCATCCATTGAGGGGATACCTGGAATGCTGGATCCAGAACCTGCTTGTAAAGGGGACTCCTTTGCCCGGTGGCACAGTCAATCACATTTTGTATCCCAGTCTTCATCCCAGGGCCTTGGGGCAGCCTACATAGTTCTCCCATCCTCCATATCATCCTCTCAACCTTCTGTGAGATGGTCAGAGAGAAACTGAATGGCCCACACCTGTCCAGTGAGCTTTGGGGCAGAGTGAGAATCTAAGGACAGTTCTCCATAAGGAATGGACATGGACCAGCTCACAAACTAAAGTTCTTGATGAATTTTGGCTGGTTCATGGTTTTCGTGGCAGGGAGACTGGTATGAACATTTCGTGAAATTTCATGCTGTTCATGGTGATTTGTGCTGGTTCATGAATGGATACATTTCCAGACAGACTGTCTCCACTCAACTAAAGTGTTTATAAAACGTCAAAGCAATGGGGGCAGAATTCTCCAGCCTTGGAAGCACCAATAGGGGCCCTCCAAAGCTTTACAGGCACTGCTGGCTGCCAATGACAGAGTTCCCAATCTGTTCTATGGGATCAGAAAGCATCTGCTGGTGCATTAGGTGGTTGGTATCCCAGCCAGATAGCCAAACTCTCCTCAGCATCCCATGCCAGGCCAACACATTCAATGCTGGCAATTTTTGATGCAGGATGTGCCCTAAAGAAGAGATTCTTTGATAAGGAATGCCACGCACCCCCACCCATTAGTCCAGGACTGGTGGAGGACCAAAATCCCGGGTGGGGCAAGTTGGTTCAGGGTGACAGTTTTGCCCTCCCTTACCCAAGTCTCAGTCACACAAGCCAGGTCTACGTTTCACTCTGCAGGTCTACGTTTCACTCTTATTATTAATAGACCGAGCATTGCACAACACCAGTATCAGAGAAGGGAATTTTTCCTTAGCCCACAACCAACATTTCTCTGGATGGGACATAGGTGGGAAGACGTCTGAGCATTACCATATCTTCGGCTTCTTCCATTCCATTTAAAGGAATCCCACCTAGTCCCACTGCTATACCCCCCCACCCACTATTACTGTATCCCTGGCTCCTGCATGTCCTCCCCTGTTAGGTCTTATCGGCCCAATAAATGGCCCAGCTAAGTATCCAGACGAGAAGATCAGTGGAACCTCTCCCAAACCCTGGCTAACCACAGCAACACACTCTAACTGATTATCCCTACCACCTCCCTCCCTCAACCTTATAAACCACAACCCTACTAATAAATGCAATACAAGGTCATTCTATGTGGGGAGTATTTAATTTCCAAACAGACAGACCCAGCTCCTACAGTCATTGACAGAAGTATGCACAGTGCCAGCAACTCTCTGAACCACAAAAGTTCGAGCCAGTTGATGATAGCTCTAGATAACAAGAGAAGAAGAGATTGGATTTATACCCCGCCCTTCACTACCTGAAGGAGTTTCAGAGCAGCGTCCAATCTCCTTTCCCTTCCCCTCCCCACAACAGACACCCTGTGAGGTGGGTGGTGCTGACAGAGCTCTTTCAAGAACTGCTCTTGAGAGCACAGCTCTGAAAGAACTTGTGACTGACCCAAGGTCACACCAGCAATTGCATGCAGAGGAGTGGGGAATCAAACCTGGTTCTCCCAGATTAGAGTCCACGCTCTTAACTACTACACCAAACAGAGATCTCACAGTCAGAGGAGTGGACTAGGATCTGAAAGACTCAGGTTCAAATCCTTGTGCAGCCATGGAGCCTTGCTGGGTGACTTGGGGTTAGTCACACACAGTCAGCCTAACCCTACTTCACATAGTGGATATGAGGGTAAAATGGAGGAGTGGAGAATGAGGTCAGCTGCTTTGGGTCCCCCTTGTGGAAAAGGGGAGGGGGTATAAATAAATTAAGAAAGTAATTCAATAAAATACTCACCCATACTGGTTAATCTTATTCACAGAATTTAGCCCAGGACATGGATATTCAACCTCTCGTGTAAACAACCCTCATTTTAAACTGTGGATTCTGTTATTTGGTCAGAGAGTCATAGAATAAGCCGAAGGGGTGGGGGGGGTGGGGGGATTCAGTCATACACACATACGCACCTCGACCTGGTGTCATGTAGTTAAATTTCAATACTAAATAATTTCTAATAAATGCAGTGAAGAATAGAAAGGAGCACTTAGCATTCACTGGTTAAAAGTCTGGGGCTAATTTTGACAAATATATGAGCTTTTTAAACTATTTTGGAATTCTTATTTCTTAAGTTGCCTTGCAGATATTTATATGGAGAGACAAGGTATGAATATTTTAAATAAATAGACTAAGGGAATAGTTTTTCTCCCAGTATAATGTAAGTATGACATGGAGGATCATGAAAAATCTACCCTGAGCTGGGGGTGGGGGTGGGATCAGGGTGGCCCCTTAGGTTCCACAACAGTAATGGAAATAACCTGATTGCTGGTTGGCGTGGCATGGGCATGTTGGAATATTGGAGTATCTGATTTATTTAGTCATGCCCCCCCGTGTCTAGGAAAATACATCCGTTATTCTCAGGCAGCCTATTTGGGGGGAGAGTTCTGATTTCTTCAGTCTCGTTCCCCTATGATAAAAAGTTATGTCTTTCTGGTTTAAATTTCTTTTGGGGCCTAAGCTGAGCTGATTCAAAGAGGTGTGTTTGGTAATGAAGGCTGATAGTCTGGTAAAGCAGTTGTTGTAGAATTCCCATTAACAAAAGAGGAAAGCTGCAAGTCCTGTGATGGTGGAGGAACCATTGATTCTGTCAGTGTCTTTCTTAACTCTTCCAGTCTGTTAGTAATACTCAGCTGGTCCACTTGAGAGAGGCTTCCAAAAGAGCCTATTAATTCTGTCTCTACTGAATTGTCCAGTTGAGAAGCCCCCACTTCTAACAATAGGTGGTCTGATACCTCTTCCAGGGTTATTAATTCAGAAGCCTCTTCCAGAACTATTACATCTTGATGAATCTTATCCACTCATTCTACTGAGAGACAGAGGACCTTTTTGCTTGCTATAGGAAGGCATGGGAAAAGAGGGGTAATTTCTGAACTGTTAAATACCCTTGTTGGACAAATCCCCTTGTGTCTCAAGCTGGATTTCTGAGCCAAAATCAAGGAGGGAAAGATGGGAGTTTCAAAGGTGAGTATGACTCTCTGAAGCTGATTTGTATAGTCCAGCACTTCTACTGGACTGATACCCAACGTTTGGATGCCCAGTTTGCAAACCATGAACCATCATGAACTTTAAGCCACCAAATGAATCAATTCAGTTCATGAGGTTTGTGATGTGGTAGAATGCACCCCACAATAAGCTAGAGACACCAAACTCACAGGGGATCTTCGGCTGACTCTCTTCTACCTGCCCTCCAATTTGGTGAGGATTGGATTTATGGGGTCCAAGTTATGCCCCCCCCCCCAAAAAAGGTACCCACAGGAAAGCACTTTCTGTGGAAATGACAGGCACAGGTTCAGGAGGTGCGGGAGTGTATATCATACTCCCTGTGCAAGCTACAGATATCTAAGTCACAGGGAACTTCCTCTGTATGCTCCTCTACATGCTCTCCACATTCTGCCCCCCCCCCCCCCCCCGCGTTTGTTTTTTTTTTTAAACATTTAGATTGAGACAGTCTGTCTGGAAATGTATCCATTCATGAACTGCCACAAACCCCCGTGAACTGCTTGAACGTTCATGGAAAGTTCATGCTGGTTGGCCTGCCTTGAAGTTGAGGTTGTTTTTTTTGGGGGGGGGGTTTGTATTTTTGGTGTAGTGTTAGAAGCATGAACTCTAATCTGGAACAATTGGGTTCGATTCCCCACTTCTCCACATGCAGCTGCTGGCAGGGCCAGATTTAGATGGAGAGAGGCCCAAGGCTACTCCACTTGTGAGGCCCCTCCCAATCCCCCACCCTCACGACTAGAAGAAAATGGAAGAGTGTTAGAAACAAAACTGAGTGAAGCCAAGGATGATGACGGGTATTAAAAATTCTGATATTCACAATTTCTCCTCTAAAGGACATAAGATGTTATTGTTAAATACTATAGTGATTGAAAAAATGCATAACTGTTAAAATTAACACTGAAAAACATTTGCAATAACTGAACTTTGTAAACCTTTTGTGGAATAAGCATCAAGTTTTTAGGAAAATGAAGTTGTAATGTTATTCTTAAAAAAAAACAACCCTTGAGTTTACAAAATATATTGCCTGGGAAATGTAAATAATATGGTCATGACTACCTGACAGTGTGGCACTTTTGGAATCTACTTTATGCTGTCATTAAACAATCAGTTTTAAAATACATATTTGGAAGTAAACTACAACCATCAAAAACAGTAAGACTAAAAATTTTTTTTCTAGCCTTCCTCATCGCAAAATCATTCAAAACTTCATCAAAATTTGTTTGTCTAAGTTTGTCACTTTCAGTGTACAGAATGCTCAGTGTGGACAACCTTTCTTGAGACATCGTGGCCCTTAATTCATGCTTAATTCTTTTGAGTCTTGAAAAACTCCTCTCTCCCGAGCAGTTAGTGACCATAAAGCTAAGAAATAGTCACAAGATTGCTTCCACATTAGGAAAGGCCATCTGAATTTTTTCCTTGTGTATAATTTGATAAAGGTCTGTATGACAGAGGCGCTCTTCTGTAAGCCTATGGCTTTGTCTCATGTACAGGTGAAAGTGCAAAGGTTCATCAATAAGTTTCAGGTCAATATCTTCTGGGTATGCTTCCATCAATAGTTCAACACCTTGCTGAATTTCTTGCTTAGATGCTGTCAGAGTAGCAAGAATGGAAAACAATTGTGCAACATCACTGTACACAGTACTTCTTCTTTTTAAATTGGCTTCAAGTGCATCTAATATAGGAATAAAGGATTTTATCCTAAACTTATCTCTTGAAGAAAGTGCATCTAAGGCACCAGGTGCACTTCTGTCATTTATTTGCCATTCCTTTACTCTTTGTCTCCTTGTTTTGTAGTTAACATTTGGCAAGGTGGCTTTTGCTTGTTTCACAAGCTCATCAAAATCTTCTCTAATTTTCCTTTAAAAAATCCAGAAGTGAACTGTACAAACTTGGACAAGAACTCAATAAGAGGTCTGATTTCAGAAGGGCTTTGCTGACCTTGTGAAAATGACCTAGCACACGGGTCCAAAAATGCAGCATAAACACAAATTCCAGTTCTTCCATTTTCCCCAAAAGATTGTTAGCTTGAAGCCTTGTCTCCCCCTTCCCATTAACGTCAGAGTACGAATGACTGGGGGCATCAGTGATAGCTCTGTAACTTTCCAAAACAGCTTCTGTGGCTTTTGCGTGTGCGTCCCACCTAGTGTCTGAAAAATATTTAGGCACTTTAGACTGAGGTGGCAAAAATGATTTTAGAACTGCCCATCTCTTTATGGAGGATGAAAAGAAGGTATACATTTCATTGATAATGCCAAAACAGTTCACTGCATCAAGGCAGCAATCCAGAGCTGAATGGCCAATCAGATTTAAAGAGTGACCTGCACATGGAATAAATCTTGCAAATTGTTTTTTTCCGATAATTTTTTGCTGCATACCATTGTACTTACCAGCCATGTTGGCAGCGTTGTCATAAGACTGTCCGCGGCATTTTCTAAAGTCAATTTCAAGCTCAGTAGTGAAATAGTTGAACACTAAATCAGCCATGCTTTCTCCTGAGTGGTCTTTTAGCTCAAGGAAAGTTAAAAATCTCTCAGTTACCAACCCATCTTCAGGTGATACATATCTGATAATTGAAGTCAACTGATCAGTATGTGAAATGTCAGGATTGGAATCTACTGAAAAGCTGAAATATCCAGCCTTTCTCACATCAGCCAGAATTGCATCCTTAACTTTTTTTTTGCCATGAGTTGAATCATTTCCTCTCATATAGTTTTTGACAAGAGGGATTGCCTGATCCAAAATGTCCATACTGACTGATATGAGCAAGTAAAAATGGATCAAATTTTGCCACTAGTTCTAAAAGACCAAGATAATTGTCATTATTTGGAGATCCAAAGTGTTCATTGTCTCCTCTGAATGGAGGAGTTCTACAAGAGCGCATATTACAGCAATAATTCTCTCCATGACATGTCGCCTGTACTGCTGTTCTGCTTTTATTTGTTCCTCTAGCTTTGGAGTTAATATTTGCCCTCGCTTCCTTGTTAGGTTGGACAACGTGGCATTCCTATGCTTCTCTGAGTTTTCCTGAGTTTGGATAAGATGGGGGTTTTGCCAGTCATCAAACCCTTCAGTAGCTAAAGCTGTGGGAAAAGATGCAAGGTTTGGAAAGAGTTTACAAACAAAGCAGCCCGTCCTTTTGATGGAAAATATACAAGCCACTCATGGCTATATGTTTCCCCATTTGCTTTTGTTGAATAACTGTCAGGTACTTCAATAACTCAGCATCAACAGCAGGTCCTTAAACAGGGCCCCGGTCACACGGGCTGGATATCGCAGGGGGGAGGCGTGGCTGTTTGCCCCAGATCAAACGTCCTGCCGACGTCCCATGGTTCAGGGGGAGGTGCCGATCAGACATCAATCCTGTGGTGCGGCAAAGTGGCGCGGCGGGGGTTGTGTTTTTTCTAACCAAAGTGTGGACATGCGCCGTTGGGTGCTTGTGCGCATCCTGTGGAGACTTGGGGGAAAAAACCTTTTCGCGATGGGACATGGGCAGGCGCTGGATGCCACGAGCTACCACTGGAAATGTGATCAGTCGCCCACCCTTGCCCTGCGGTTTCCGGAAACTAGTACCACATCTTCGGCGACAAGCCTCGGGTTAGCCATGGGAGCTCTACGCTTCCCAGATGTTGTGGTTTGATCGTGCCTGGAAAATCCGCCTATCTTCTGTCTTTGTAACGTGGCTAATGCTCCGTGTGACTGCAGGCCAGGTTCAGCTTTATTTGTCAGAGTAAGGTGAAGTCAACTTAGACTCTTTGAGTCAGGAATGAGGAATACAAAATGGCAATAGTAATTATAGTGGGTTCATACAACACCCCCTGACCCCTATGAGCCAATAAGCAATTAATGTGGAGTGTGGGGAACTGTTTAATTGTTCAGAGGTGATCGGGAGGCAACAGAGGCTTCACGCCAAAGTGATGAGTGCTCAAGGCCAATGGCTAGATAAGAGGCAGAAGCGAGAAGCAGCTGCAGAGCATTACAAATTCCACAGTCAGGACAAAAACACCATGGTGGGGCTACCCGACAATAACAAAGAGCTTTTGTGCAAAACCTGGACTGCTTTTTGTACACTTGCTTGGAATTTGAAAATGGTCAACAATGACGCAGAACTTGAGAGGGACCCCTCTCTACCCAATAGGATACTTCCTCATGTGATAATTCTGACCACAAACCAACATTTTGTTACAGTAGATCTATGTTTGTCATTATCTTTATCTGCATCTGGAACACCTTGGACTTGGCCTATCTTACCAGGTGTGAACTGCAAAATCTGACTATTGACATTATATTATTGTGGCTCTTTAGCCTCTCCCTGTCCAGTAAGTGACTCTTGAATTAGTTCCATATTTTCAGTTTGAGCCAGCATCAAATTACATCACAAATTACAGCAGAAACGCAAGAAATCAAAAAACAAATTATGGAAAATAAACAAGAAATAATGAAAATTTCCTCCAAACAACAAAAATTTAAAGAGAAACTACAGGATATAGACTTTGAAGTTCTAGAATTAAAAGCAAAAAGTGAAAGAATAGAGGATACTTTAATAAATTTTGAAATGGAGAAAGTGGCAAAGATAATAAGATGCCAAAATATCCCAGAAACTATTGAAAAAAAATTTGAAGGATGAGTTTGCCCAAAATATAGCTGATCAATTGCAGATAGGGATGAAAGAAGAGATACAAAATAATACTGAAGGTATATTTAGACGAAACTCTGCTTATGCAAAGGAGGTACATGTGAAGTTCTACCGGAAGGAGATGAAGGAAGATATCCTCAAAGCGGCACATGAGACAAAAGTGAATATCCAAGGAGAGGAAATTAATTTGTTGAAGGAAGTCCCATGGAGAGTAAGGGAGAGAAGGATCCCCTACTCGAATTTGATAGATCTCCTTAAAAAAAAATGGAATCGTCTATAGGTGGTTAGTTCCAGAAGGAATACTCTTCTCCTTTGACAGTAGAAGGCAATGCATAGATTCGATATTCAAGATTCAGTTCTTTCTGGAGAAATACGGAGAAGATCTGGGACTTCAAAAGGATGAGGAGCAAGAAGAGGAAGAGGTCAGTACTGAATCAGAAGAAAAAGAAGAAGAGAGCACTGAACAGCAAAAAAGATCAGCTAAAGGCGCAACTGCTAAAAAAGAAAAGAAGAAACCTAATAAAAGTACTTACCAGATTTTAACTAGATTCAAGTATAAAAACATAGGGAAAAAACAGTAAGAAGTAAACATGGCAACAATAAAGACATTAAAGATTTTATCTATTAACATAAATGGGCTGAATAGCCCCCCAAAAAGAAGAAAAACATTTCATCAGATTAATAAAAATAAAGTTGATATTGTCTGCTTACAAGAAACGCATATTAAGAAGGGTGACGATAAACTTTTGAATAACAAAAAATTAGGAAATGCATTTGTCGCATCAGATCAGAAGAAGAAGCGTAGAGTTGTAACATATGTAAAAGACAGCTTAAACCCTAAAATGATATATGCATCAAATGATGGAAGGATAGTAGCAGTAGTTATAACGCTGAATGGAAAAGAGACTTTAATAGTCAAGATTTATGCGCCAAATCAAAATCAAGAACCCTTCTATAAGGAGTTACGCACGGTTTTAGGTATGAGGGAAGTAGAGAGTATTTGTTTAGTAGGGGACTACAATGCGGTACTCGACCCTTTAATTGATAGAAAGGGTACAAGAAAAAGAAATAAAACAGGTGCAATTACAGGAAAAAGTTTTTTTCAAATTATAGAAGAATTTACTATGGTAGACGCATGGAGAATTAGAAACTTTTAAAAAAGCGACTTTACATATTACTCCCCGAGATATAGCTCTTGGTCTAGTATATGGGTTTCTTCTAAGATGATAAACGAAATGTTAGAATGCGAGATTCTTCCGAAAACCTATGCAGACCATAATCCAATTATGTTAACTTTAAGGAAAGTACAAAAGAAAAAAAGATCATCCGCAGGGCTCTTTTTGTAGCAGGAACTCCTTTGCATATTAAGCGACACACCCCTAATGTAGCCAATCCTCCAAGAGCTTACAGTAGCTCCTGTAAGAAGAGCTCTGTAAGCTCTTGGAGGATTGGCTACATTAGGGGGTGTGGCCTAATATGCAAAGGAGTTCCTGCTACAAAAAGAGCCCTGAGATGGACAATGAATTTGGGACTTCTCAGAGATCGGAAATTTAGGGAAAAAACTAAAGAAGAAATTTTAGACTTTTCCCTAAGAAACAATAACACAGAGATAAGAATGGAGATAGTCTGGGACGTCTTCAAAGCTTTTATACGGGGCTGGTTCACCTCTCAGAATATTTGGAAAAACAAACAGGATAAAAAGAATTATCAAACTTTGGTGAACCAAATAAATAAAGAAGAGAAGATGAAAAAGGCAACCAACCCAAAAGAACATAAGGCTAAACTACAACTTCTTCAACATAATTTAAACATATTTTTAAATAGAGAGCTGGCTAGGAAGATTGAGTTTACCAAACAATATTACTTCGAAAATATAAATAAACCTAACAGATGGTTAGCATACAAACTCCGTAAGGAAAGAGAAAAACGAGTGATTTTGAAATTAAAAAATACAAAGGGAGAAGAAAATGTCACTATACAAGAAATGAAAACTATAGTGGAAAAGTACTACTCAGAATTATGCCAACAAAAACCACAGGATGAACAGCAAATTAAAGAATATCTAGAAAGAAAGATAGGGGGAAAGAGAATAAGTGAAGAACATAAAAAGATTCTTAATGAACCAATTACCATGTGTGAGGTAGTTGAAGCTATTAAGCGACAGAAAAAGAAGAAAACACCGGGTCCAGATGGTATACCAGGGGAATTTGATCAAATATTTCAGGAGCAGTTAGATTTGCAGTTAAAGAATGTGTGTCAAGAAATAGCCAAGAAAGAAAAGATACCGGATTCTTGGAACTATGCATTAATATCCTTAATCCCCAAGCCAAATTCGGACAGAGACGAAATTAAAAATTACAGGCCCATATCTTTGCTAAATTCAGATTACAAAATATTTGCCAGTATACTAGCTAACAGATTGAAAAAGGTATTAGCTCGAACCATTCATCAGGACCAAATGGGTTTTTTACCAAAGAGACAGATTAAGAACAATATGCGCATAGTTATCAATACGCTAGAATATTATGAATCACACCCAGAAAAAGAGGTAGCGTTGATGTTCCTTGACGCAGAAAAAGCTTTTGATAACTTATCCTGGAACTTTCTTCTACAAAAACTAAAGATAGAGGAGTGTGGAAACTATTTTTGGTCCATGATTAAGGCAATATATTCTACGCAATATGCCAAAGTGATAGTTAATGGTGATTTGACAGAAGATATAGCTGTACAAAAAGGCTCTAGACAGGGGTGCCCCTTATCCCCACTGCTGTTTATATACGTGCTTGAAGTGTTGAATAATTCCATCAGAAATAATGGGCAGATAAATGGATTAAAGGTAAAAGGGGAAGAATTTAAAGTATTGGCGTTTGCTGATGACCTATTATTTATAGTGGAAAACCCTACTAGAACCATTCCTCTATTAATGGAAGAAATTGCAGCACATGGTGAAGTAGCTGGGTTTAAGATTAATCTGAAAAAGACTAAACTCTTAGTAAAATTAATCTTCAACTGGATAAACTCATGAATCAGAGGTCCATCAGTGGCTATTGGCACAAGGTATAGATGGTTGCTGCTGAAGGGTTACAGAATTCAGTTTTCCACTGTGGCAAAACAGGCACCCACCCTCAGCCCTGGGGGACTGAGTAGCCAGTTTGTGGCTCGCTTCGCCTTCCCACTTCCTTGGTGGGCTTCTGGCACTCTTCAGTAGCTGCCACTACTCACTGACTTCCCTATGCCTTTCTTGAGGGGCAGTGAGACCTCTCTGGCTAACTCCTGGGGTTTGGAAATGAAACCCCCTAACTTTGGGTTTCTCCTGGAGGGTTGGCACCTTCACATTTGGGGGCTTTTCCCCTCCCAGGACCCTTCTTAAACACTAATAGTGGACAGAGCAAGGGACACTCCATGGTCAGAGCACCAGACAGGGGTTTTAAACAAAGAACAAAGATTTTATTTATTTACAAGTAACAGGATTTTAAACACAAAAAGGCACTTTAAATCAAACACAGAAAGGAAAACTCCACCAGGCACAAATAAAATAAGACAAAACACAGTTCCTCTGTCCCTGAACTGATCCCTATATTTATTTTCCCTCGGGATGAGGTTCAGTTATCAACCTGCAGCCTGGCGTCCTGCCTTCTACAGGTAGTTCTGGATCCCTCTGAGGATCCCTTCCCACTGCTGCCTTCCCTGATCCCCAAGGCCTCTCTCTGCCTGTGGGCAATCTGAGGGTTGCAGGATGACTCCCCCCCCTCCCAGGCCAGCTGGACCATTTATATCTTCTGACTCCACCCCCTGGCTTTCCCGCACTTTTTGGCCATAGAGGCATCTGGGATTTGTAGGCCTACCCTGGAGTTTTGCCCTACTTCCCAGGGTGGGTGGCCATTTTAACTAAACTAAACAACCTAAACTGAAGCAAACACAAGATGGAGTCTATTCTGCCACATCCAACAAGCCAACCCTATAGCACAAGATCATTTTCCAACCTAAACATTTTCAAAAGTTTATAAACTCCCAAAATTGTCAAAAGGATTCAAAATAATTTTATCCGACACATGCAATTATGAGGCTTGAAATGATGCAAAAACATAATAACTATTTGTCATCTAATAATTCCAGCAGCAGCAAACACCAGGCTTCCATCCAACAATCAATACTAGCCATTTAAAAGAGACAACTGCCAAAAAAAATGTTATATAAATGATTAGATTCTGCAATGTCTTTAGAACAATTAATCTACTATTAATGTATGAAGCAGTATTGTTTGGATTTATTGGCGTGACAATTGACACCATCAATATTTCTTTTCATATCCAAGAAGTTCTGAGAAAGGGGTTGCAAGTGCATGCTGCAGGCACCGACAGGGCTCTGTGAAGTGTGAAAAATAGACTTCCCTGCCTGGGAGGGGTGAGGACAGTGCCAGTCACATGTGCTTGCTCTGTTCAAGCCAAGGAGGAGGGAAGGAATGGAAGAGACTTGGGAGAGCTTGCTTGCCTGGTCTATCTGCCCCAGCCGGCCCCACACTCACACTCTCCCACTGATTAAAGTGCAGCATGTACCACTACTGACCTGACCCTTGAGCTGGGGAAGGCTGTGCAGCTGGTTGTTGACTCTGGGCTGCTGGCTCTGGAGTCCTGGAGTCTGTACCCTGAATAGTGGCACCAGGGACCTAGAAGGGGCAGGGCTTGTTAGTCCAACCCCTGCACAGTCTCATCAGGGCTGGCCTTAAGGCAATTGGAGCAATTGGGCAAAATTGGGCCCCGCGGGCTGCTCTTAAGGGGGGCCCTGCAATCTAGATGGGTTTTATTTATATCTATCTAGATGGGTTTTATTTATATCTCTAAGATTCTGCAGATGTTGGCTGTGAACTGGGGCCCCACAAAAAATTTTACAGTTGGGCCCCAGTGTTTCAAATTGGGCCCCACTGGCTGGCCATGAGTCTCACATTGCCCTGCCCTCGCATGAAGTCTTGGGTTTGCGATTTTGGGACAGGGGAGACTGCCCGCCGGGGGGGGGCAGGGCTGTGGAGGCCCCCTAGATTTAAAGGCCCTTGGCTTCATCCTACTTCGCCTATAAATAAATTTGGCACTGCACGTGGGCAACGATGGGGGCAGTAACCAAACCAAATGGCAACCCTTATAGTGGAAATGCAAGAACCTTTAATAATGCTCATGAATGGACTTGTGAAAATAAGCATACTTGAAATCAAGAACTATGAACCACAAATCGTGCTTTAATAACTGGAGAGTAGAGACTAGATAGATCATAATGAACTTGGTAACTGATAAGTAATGATTTAAACCTAACATAGGTCTGTTATCCCAATCCTTTTTTAAAAAAAAACCTGGCAATAAAAATCTTTAGGAGAATCTGGGTTCTGTATCGGCTCAATAGCCCCATTTTCCAGACGGGTGCGCAACTGGCTCTCTAATCCAGGTAGGGAATTATCAAGGGCATTGTGCACTGCCCAGCAGGGTGGTGGGGTTGAAAACTCAAGTCTATAACAATGTACAAGACTCAAACCTCTGAGGTAATGAGGGCCCAGGCTAGTCATAGAATCATAAAATCACAGAGTTGGAAGGGG